GGGTAACAAGAGCGAAACTCCATCTCAAAAAAAAAAAAAAAAAAGAGAAATGGAGCTTTTGAGGAGGAAATTATGTCTTTCACTAAGCCTCTGAAAGCTATTATTCATCCTTAAATATCCAGACATCGCATTCACCATGATATGTGAGAAACTTTCCTTTCTCTGCAGAGATTTAAAAAGAAGGTATATGTATAGTGTGATTTCCTGAGAGACAGTCTTTGTTATTTGGGGCACGTGTGGCACATTTCCTACTTATGGGGACTTTTCGTAGGGAGCTGAGTTCTGCATTAGGAATTGGAGCAGAGAGGAAACAAATTTTTATAAAATCATATGTAGGCCAGGTGTGGTGTAACTCCAGCACTTTCAGAGGCCAAGGCAGGAGGGTTGCTTGAGGCCAGGAATGGGAGACCAGCCTGAGCAGGATAGTGAGACCCCCATCTCAACAAAAAATTTAAAAATTAGCCAGACATGATGGCACATGCCTGTAGTCCTAGCTACTTGAGAGGATCGCTTGAACCAGGAGTCCAAAGTTATAATGAGCTATGATTTACAACACTGCACTCCAGCCTGAGTGACAGGGTGAGACCTTGTCTCTTAAAAAATAAAATAAAATAATATGTGTGTGTATGTATGTATATGTGTGTGTATAAGTTTTGAAGTATTTTGGAGTATAAAATTGCCTGAGGAACATTAGATACATAATGATTTATATATTTTTTAATATTAATAGAGTAAAAGAAGACATTCCAAAGACAGACTTTGTCATTAGTAGCTTCGGAGCCTAAAGTCTAGGGCATTTCTGAATTTATTTTCCATATGTTATGGAGTACCCACTCAGTTGACATTTCCCATTGGAGAGTACCTACTCATTTATAGTGCCTCACTTTTCAAGGGATGCCCTATTTTTTTTTACCTGGGAGTTTACTTAGCATTTTTACCTAAAGTCATTTGTGATCATGTAGCAGTAAATTAATTCTAGATTAATTAAAATAGGCCATCCCTTTTATATTGAACATGCTCATGCAAGTGAATGTTGTTTTTCCCCTTTTGCAAATGGAAAAAAGGCCTGAAGATTAGCACTAGGATTAGGAGTTCTTGGGTAGCTGTTCTGTCTGCCTTGGTGGCTTTGGGGCTGACCTCATCTCCCTGACCATGTCTCCTATGCCCCCAAGCTGACCATCCTTTCTGAGGAGAGAGCAGCGCTGCTGGAACTGTGGGAGCTGCGCAGGCAGCAGTACGAGCAGTGCATGGACCTGCAGCTCTTCTACCGGGACACTGAGCAGGTGGACAACTGGATGAGCAAGCAGGAGGTAATCTGTGAGCAAAGCCTTGCCAGCAGTGGGAGAACCAGGGCCTGTGTTTTGTCTCCTCCAATAGTTTGCTTATTTTGTTTTAGGACATCAGTACCATTTTAGTTCTGAATCTGTTGAAGAGGGGGAGTTGAGCAAGCTTCTCTCAGCTCTGCCAGCATCTTTCCTTGCTTGAGATTGTAAGGCCCTCAGAAAAGGCCCCAGTTTTTCAGATTAGTGTGATGTAAAATGTTTTATTAAACATATTTTTTTCTTAGAACTTTGCATTGCCAGGTGCAGTGATACTCTCCTGTAATCCCAGCACTTTGGAAGGCTGAGATGGGAGTTTCCCTTGAGCCCAGAAGTTCAAGGCAGCAGCAAGTTATGATTGCTGGTGCCCATGCAACAGACCAAGATCTTGTCTCACAAAAAAAAAAAAAAAAAAGGAAAGAAAAAACAGCATTATGTGACAGCACTGGTGCCTGTGCAACAGACCGAGATCCTGTTTCACAAAACAAAAAAAAAGGAAAAAAAAACTTAGTATTATGTGACATCTAAATCTAATAGAAGCAACAAAAGCTTTATGAGCAAAGTTTCAATAGAATGTGGAACAAGGATTTCATGATGTGGCTGGATTGATTTTAAGAAAATCCAGCCGGGCACGGTGGCGCGTGCCTGTAGTCTCAGCTACTCGGGAGGCTGAGGTGGGAGGATCGCTTGAGCCCAGGAATTCTGGACTGCAGTACGCTATGCCGATCGGGTGTCTGCACTAAGTTCGGCATCAATATGGTGACCTCCCGAGAGCAGGGGACCACCAGGCCTAAGGAGGGGTGAACCGGCCCAGGTCGGAAATGGAGCAGGTCAAAACTCCCGTGCTGATCAGTAGTGGGATCCTGCCTGTGAATAGCCACTGCACTCCAGCCTGGACAACATAGCGAGACCCCGTCTCTTATTAAAAAAAAAAAAAAGAAAGAAAGAAAGAAAATCCAAAAGGACTTTAGACTTCCTATTTTTTTTTCCCCTCCAGCTTAGCTTTAGTGCATTAAGGTCTTTAGACTTTCTAGAAGAGATCTTAGAAGTTTAACAGCCATAAAATCTCTTTCCTTCTTTTTGTATTTTGGCCAAAATATCCTTTGCTCTTAGAAGATCAAAGGGCTGGGCACAGTGGTGAATGCCCGTAATCCCAGCACTTTGGGAGGCCGAGGCAGGTGGATCATGAGGTCAAGAGATTGAGACCATCCTGGCCAACATGATGAAACCCCGTCTCTACTAAAAATACAAAAATTAATTGGGTATGGTGGTGTGTGCCTGTAGTCCTAGGCCTTGGAGGCTGACGCAGGAGAATAGCTTGAACCCAGGAGTTGGAGGTTGCAGTGAGCTGAGATCACACCACTGCACTCCAGCCTGGCAACAGAGCAAGACTCGTGTCTCCAAAAAAAAAAAAAAAAAAAAAAAAAAAAAAAAAAAAAAAAAAAAGAGAAAAAAAAAAAAAAAAAAAAAAAAAAAAAAGAGAAATGGAGCTTTT